GCAAAAGCGCGTCTAGATTGGCACGGACGCTTTTCCACAAAAAGTGCTTTTGCGGAAAAGCGTCCGTGCCATTCTAGATGCTCTTTTCTGCAAATGCTTTTAACGGAAAACTTTTCCGTTAAAAGCATTTGCGGAAAATCAAGCCAGTCTAGACGTAGCCTAGTTGTTTAAAAACCCACACAAATCTTAAATATGCTACTAAAGGTTAATTTAAATTTAAAGGAAATGTAGCATCTGGGCACCATATAGCCTGCTCCCGCAAGCCATCCTGATATGTACCAAAAGAGCTCGCATGTTAGAAGTACCACTAACAGCATGATTCCCTCTTCCTTCAGAGAAGGATTGAGTTGGGTAGGATTTAGCCCCAGACATAAGTGGTTTTCCAGTTGAATATTTTAGTACATTGACAGGAACTCCAATTCCTTCAATGAAGAAACCACGTGTGTAAAAACCATACAAAACAGTTAACCAGTTAAATAATTTCTTTAACTCTATGGTCACCAACCCGTTGATTGCGTTCAACTGGTCAATTGTGGGGGCACAACCACTCGATCAAGAGGTGTTCCCAGCTCCCCTCGTTCTTCCCACCCCCAAGACGGAGCCCGCGCCCACTTCCTGCAGCATGGCGGGGAGAGGGGGAGTCCCATGGCTGTGCACCAGATCCGACTTCTCTGGAAGTGCACCCGCTGTTGTGGGAAGGGGAGGAGCAGTGCACACTTCCTGAGATGCTGAATCTGGTGCACAGTCACTGGACTTCTCCTCCCACCCCGCCACAGGAAGGCAGGCAGCATGGGGGAGGGAGGCCCATGGCTATGCACCAGATCTGACTTCTCAGGAAGCGTGCCGGCTGTTTTGGGGAGGTGGGAAGAGCAGCGCACATATTTCCTAAGACTCCAGATCTAGTACACAACTGTGAGATCCCCAGGTACCGACTGAGCTGTCCCTATCCCCTCCCCCTGTCCAGACCCTCACCAGAACCTTGCCCCCTGTCCAGACCCCCACCAGCACCCTGGTCCCCGGAGCATGCTGGCTGTTGTGGGGAGGGGAGGAGCAGCCAGTGAGCAGCCCCTGCCCACTGGCCCCGGGCTGCACGCAGAGTTCTGCATTCCCCCTTTGAAATGTACAAGAGCCCAGGAGGAGGAATGCAGAAGTGCCTATCGACCAGTCAATGAAAATTCCATCAACTACTTGACTAGTCAATTAACCACAATTTAACATCCTTACCCCCAACCAGATCTCCATTAGCACCTTGCTCCTGCCAAGACCCCCATCCAGCACCCTCCCCCTTACTCGTGGCTAGACACCTACCAGCACCCTGGCTCCTACCCCCTGGCCATACAGCATCCAGCACCCTGCTCCTGCCCTCTCCCCTCCTGGTCACCTACCCCCACCTTGCTCCTGTACCCTATTTTCCACCCAGATTCTGCACCCCCATCCCTACCCCCACTCACTGGCAGTCCTGTCCCGCACACTGGATCCCTCATTTCTGGTCCCACCTCAGAGTGTAGAGGAGCCCACAAATTCCACTGACCCTGGAACTCAGAAAAGTTAATCTGGCCTGAGGCCTTGACCCTCAGTCCTACCTACCTTTCCACCACCCCCAGAGGGATGGAGTGCCAGGTGAGTTGGGGCCACATCAGTGAGGCTTGGGAGGTTTGAGGGTTTTTTTTTTTTTTTTGCATTTCACTTGTGTGTTCCCCAATTGATTTTTCTGTGGGTCAGTGACACCTGACCCAAAACAGGTTCCCCCGGCCCTCCCATAAATAAAGACAATGCTTACACTTTTTATGTTGGAAATAATATTTTATTTAAAAATGAGGCCTGGCCAACAAGCCCCCAATTGGGACCAAGCCCCCATCTGGCCACAGCATCATAACACTTCTGCACCTCCCACAGAACCCAACCCTGAGCCCATCATATACCTGAATCCCCTGTCCTGAGCCCCTCACATCCCCAAACTCCTGCACCCTCACATCCCCAGTCTTCTGCCACAACACTCATTCACCATCCACACACTGAAAATCTGTGTCCCGAGCCCATCGTATTCCCAACCTCCCTGCCCTGAGCCCCTCATGCACCCCAACCCAAACTCCTGCACCCTCACATCCACAAGCCTATGGCTTCACCTGACCCCACCACTCTCCAGCCTGGAGCCCCCTCCCTGAGCCAGCATCCCCTTTTCACCTCCTCCTGGACTCAAATTCCCTCCCAGAGCTTGTACTTCTCACCCCTTCCCACATCCAAATCCCTAATTCGCACCCCAGAGCCCGCACCTCCTGTTTCAACCCGGTGAGTGTGAGTAAGGGCTGGGGACAGGAAGTGATGGAGAGGAGAGGAATGGAGAGAGCGGGGATTCAAGGAAGTGATGGAGCCTTGGGGAAGGGATGGGGTAGATCTTGGCTTGTCCTTACATTTAAAAAGTATTCTTGGGTTGGAGACCACTGGTTTAACTGGTTAACTACCAGGGCAGCTCTGGGACGACCCTGCTGCACTGAGGACAGCAGAAGCTGCTGCAGCCCAGCCCCACTCTGCTGTGACAACCTCGCGGGCTGGGGGCTGCTCTGGCCTCACAGACTCTGGAGTCCTTTCCTTCTACTGGTGGGGCCCTCTGGTTAACCAGTTACCTGGTAAGAATGTCACTAAGGCTTATGCTTACTGGGTAACTGGTTAACCATTTAACTACTTACATCCCCAGAAGAAATATGTAAAAATGCTTCTTGTCACATTCCACAATTATTTTGGTACGGAGATAATAAACTTACATTTTCACCAGCTTTATTGAATTCAAGCTGAGTCCGAGTTCTCTCATTGTTTTCAAGCTCTTTCACTATTTCAGCCACTGTTAATAACAACAAGCATTATAAATGGTAGAACCATAAGATGGCAGTTAAGATAAAGAATAAAACAGCATTGGAAATAAATGTCCTGAGGTTAAATGATATTCAGGGCTAAATGCATTCATCTTTCACCTCCAGATACTCAGTCTGAAATCCAGATTTGAGTCACAAGTGAAAACAAAATATAACAGGCTTATCCCAGTAGTCTAGTAGTCATTTGGTAACAGCACAAAACCATAATTTGCAACAGTTCAGTAATATTAGTGGTCTGTACACAGGACTCAGGAACAGAACATAAGGTCAAAGTCTGAGTCCTAGCACAACTGCCCTGAGGAAAGTTACACGGTGCTTGCTTTCAGATGGCTCCTCACCAATCCCAGGTCATTCTCTCTTTCTTTCTTTCTTTTTTTTTTCTCTCTCTCTCTCTCTCTCTTTCGTGTGTGTGTGTGTGTGTGTGTGTGTGTGTGTGTGTGAGTGAGAGAGTGAGACAGAAGGGGGGGAGGCAGAAAGACATAGATAGATCAGATTTTCATTAGAAGCTGTACCAGCATATATCATAATGATCTAATATTTGTACAAAGTCTCCATTTTATAGTACATATTTAAATGAAAGATTCAACTGTGAATGTGAAATACGTTGTTTATATTCTTTTTAGGACTATATTCCAGATGGAAAAGAAAACTGCCTGTGGTGCAGATCCAAAACCCATAGACCAAAGAAAGACCATATTATTATGGTCAAAATTAAATCAGATACATCTCAAGATAACAATTAGACATATTTCGGCTTATTAACGTTTAAGACATAACTAGAGCTATGCAATACTTTATGTAATTTATTTTGTCATTTAAATTACGAATATATCGCTACACCTAAATACAGGCAGTCCCCGGGTTACGTACAAGATAGGGACTGTAGGTTTGTTCTTAAGTTGAATCTGTATGTAAGTCGGAACTGGCGTCAGCCGCTGCTGAAACTGATCAGTTTCAACAGCAGCTGAATCTGGACGCCAGTTCTGACTTACATACGGATTCAACTTAAGAAACCCAGGCGTCCCCAAGTCAGCTGCTGCTGAAACTGATCAGCGGCTGATTCCAGGAAGCCCGGGGCAGAGCAACTCTGCCTCGGGCTT